TCCGCGGCGGGCCAACTGCGGGCGGAGGGGGGCGGGCGCCGCGCCTCGAGTGCCAGCGGGCTCGCCGAATGGCCGGGGAGGGAGCCGCCGCTCCTGATTGGGAGAGCGGGGAAAGGCGGGATCCAAGGGAGGACGAGGGGGATCGACCAATCGCGGAGGGAAGGGCGCTCGAGGCCGGCTCTGCCACTGGACGGGAGCGGGGTGCGTCATCCCGCTCGCGGGGGGCCGGCCGCCAATCGGACGGCGGCGGCCCTCAAGGCTCGCTCGAAGCCCGCTCGGCGGTGGAAAGGGAGGGGCGAACGTTCGGCGAGGGTGCTGCGCGCGCAGCCTCGATTTTCCGCATGCGCGTTGAGGCCGCGGGCGGTAGGAGCCGGGCAAGCGAAGTCGGAAGGGCGGAAGAGATGGACGAGACGGACCGATTCTATTTCCTCAACCCGGAGCCGGACGAGCAGCCGAAGATCCCTTACTGGGCGCTGGACGAGAGGAGGCTGGCCGGACCGCGGAGGGTGACGAGAGCGGCAGATTCCAGTCTGGGAGGAGCCGGGTTCGATCCCCCCGCCCCTCCTCCAAGTGCAGCTGCTGGGGTGACCTTGGGTCAGTCACAAGTTCTCTCGGAGCTGTTCTCTCAGGAGCAGCCCTCGAGAGAGAGAGAGAGAGAGCTCTCTCCACCCCACAGCCAGTTTGCTGTCGTGGTTAAGAGCCGCAGACTAGTCTGGGAGAACAGGGTCTGACCCCCCCACTCTTCCTCCACATGCAGCTGCTGGGGTGACCTTGGGTCAGTCACAAGTTCTCTTGGAGCTGTTCTCTCAGGAGCAGACCTCGAGAAAGAGAGAGAGCAATCTCAGCCCCACAGCCAGTTTCGTGTCGTGGTTAAGAGCAGCAGACTATTCTGGGAGGACAGGGTCTGATTCCCCCACTCTTCCTCCACATGCAGCTGCTGGGGTGACCTTGGGTCAGTCACAAGTTCTCTTGGAGCTGTTCTCTCAGGAGCAGACCTCGAGAAAGAGAGAGAGCAATCTCAGCCCCACAGCCAGTTTCGTGTCGTGGTTAAGAGCAGCAGACTACTCTGGGGGGACAGGGTCTGATTCCCCCACTCTTCCTCCACATGCAGCTGCTGGGGTGGCCTTGGGTCAGTCACAAGTTCTCCCGGAGCTGTTCCCTCAGGAGCAGTCCTCGAGAGAGCTCTCTCATCCCCACCTACCTCACAGGGTGTCTGTTGTGTGAAGGGGTTGTCCATTGGGCAGATAGAATAGTAAATAGGGGGGGGGGAGAGATAGGGGGAAGGGTCCAGTGTTCAGTGCAACTCAGTTGTCAGAACTAGGTTTGAGTCCAGCGGCACCTTTAAGACCACCAAAGTTTTATTACGGGTGGAAGGTTTCTTGTGCACTCACACATTGGAACGAGTTTGGGGTAGTGGTTAGTGTGGACTCTAATCTGGGAGAACCGGGTTTCATTCCCCACGTCTCCACATGCAGCCAGGTGGGTGACCTTGGGTCAGTCACAATTTCTCTCAGAGCTGTTTCCACAAGGGCAGATCTGGAAAGAGCTCTCTCAGCCTCCCCCCCACCTCACAGGGTGCCTGTTGTGGGGAGGGAGAGGGAGAGGAGGTTGTCAGCCGCTCTGAGACTCTTTCGGGTAGTGAAGGGCGGGGTAGAAATCCAATCTCTTTTTCTTCTTTTCATTTTTTTTTGGGGGGGGTTCCTGCAGGGTTCCAATGCAGTCAACCACCCACCCACTTTCTTCTGCCCTGAACCACCTTGGCAGGCGAGTTTGAGCCCTGAGCTGCTGGCAGGCCATGTAATCCAGGTGTTGGGGCTGAGGATGCCCGTTTCTGGTGCCCTAGGCAAGTTGCCCCTGCACTCACCCTTTGGGGTACAGACCCACCTGTTTCCTCTGACTGTCCTACATCCTACCAATTATGGGTTCTGATTGGGGCTTGACCGCCTCTGTGACAGCCAGCTTGGGGTAGTGGTGAGGAGCGCGGACTCTAATCTGGGAGAACCAGGTTCGATTCCCCCACTCCTCCATATGCAGCTGCTGGTGTGACCGGGGGTCAGTCACAAGTTCTTTCTGAAAAGTTACTAGTGATTTCATAAACCCCACGCCCAAACACCCCCCCACACTCGTGATAAGCTATAACCGTGGCCGAGAGTTCCATATTTTGTCTTAGCTCAGGAAGGATGGCTCCAGAGCAAACTAATTCATGCAGCAGCCGAAATGTTTGCTCACAACTTTAAGGCTGGTAGCTCCCAAAGTGGAATTTTTGCTCACAGGACTCCACAGCTTAGAGGGAACATTGGCTATGACAAAAAGGTGTGAGCCGGAGGCTAAACAAAACTGTGAGCTAGCTCACACTGACTCAGCTTAGAGGGAACACTGCTCACAGGGGGTGTCTGTTGCGGGCAGGGGGAGGGAAAGGAAATTGTAAGAAGAAGAGATTGGATTTATACCCCGCCCTTCACTTGGAGTCTCAGAGCGGCTTACAAACTCCTTTCCCTTCCCCTCCCCACAACAGGCACCCTGTGAGGTGGGTGGGGCTGAGAGAACTCTGACACAAACTGCTCTTTCAGGAACAGCTGTGCCAGAGCTTGTGACTGACCCAAGGTCACCCAGCCAGGTGCAAGTGGAGGAGCGGGGAATCAAAACCGGTTCTCCCAGGTTAGAGTCCGCACACTTCACCACTATACCAAACTGGCTCTCCGAGCCAAGGGCGGGGTATAAATCCAATCTCTACTTCACCCCCAGGGGACGGCTCCTGGCCCGGGCTCTAGGGATCCCATGGCCGAGGTTCAGCGCGACGCTGGAGAAGGATTGGGTCGCGACGAGGGCGGCTCTGAGGACTCGACGACTCCTCCGGCCGTGAGGATGAACCCCCCACGTCGTTATGCTGTGGTGCCGTCCGGGTCATCCCCTCTGGAGGAGGAGGAGGAGGAAGAGGCCACAAGGAAACAAGTCAAAGGAGAGACTGAGGGCCCCGGCGTGGACAGCCCCGGCCATCCCGTCAGATCTCGGAAGCTAAGCTGGCCCGGCCCTGGCACGGTATTGGATGGGGAGACCCCCAAAGGAGAGGGCCTTGTTGCAGAGGATCTGCTGCCAGCGGTGTGGTGTCCAGGCGCCACCAGGGAATACAAGTACGGCGACCCCCCAGGCCTTTATCTGGTCGGCGGCATCTCGACGTTGATGGTTTCCCGCTGGGTCCGGCCGGCCCCCAGATGGTTCGGCAGCTACCGAGATCAGCTCACGTTAGAAAGTACGTCTGGATCGTATTCAGATACGATTTGATTTCATAGCAAAAAAAACAACAACGAAGTATATAAGGAGGGGATCCCTGTGAAAATATACGAGCACAGCGTTACTGGAAGACGCATTATTTATTTATTTATTAATTAAATTTATACCCCGCCCTCCCCCGTAGGGCTCAGGGCGGCTTACAGAGCAAGAAATCTTGCAACAATAAAAAAAAAATCCTATACATTTAAAACATACTGTACAGTTTAAAACCAGTCCCAATACAAATAAAGTGCTCAATCCTCAGTTCCAAAACCCAGAAAGATGACTGACCGTATCCAAACATTCCCGGTAGGCATTCAGTGGCTTCAATATTAAGATGTTAAAAGTTCAGACGTTCTTTCCTAGGGCCTTTTCCACCCCCCTATGATGACAATATAACGGGGGGGGCAGCCCCTACTCGAAAGCCTGGTGGAAGAGCTCCGTCTTGCAGGCCCTGCGGAACTGCATCAAATCCCGCAGGGCCCGAATCTCCTCCGGGAGCTCATTCCACCAGGTAGGGGCCGCCACCGAAAAGGCCCTGGCCCTTGTAGCGACCAGTTTTGCATCTTTGGGGCCCGGCACAGTTAGCAAATTTTGGGCCCCAGACCGTAGCGCTCTTGGGGGGACATACGGGGAAAGGCGGTCCCTCAGGTAGGCTGGACCCAGCTAGAGTTATGGGCTCCACTGTCACAGAGGGGAACACTGACGATAGCTATTCCAAGTTAGTGTGAGTCAGCACACAGTTTCTCAGCCTCCGGCTCACTCAGTTTTGTCTTCGCTCAGGAGAGACAGCTCCAGAGCAAACTAATTGATGCAGGAGCGAAATCGCTCGCTCATAACCGATGCTCCCTCTAAGCTGTGGAGTCTTGTGGGCGAGAACTCTGCTTCGTCGAGCTACTGGCTCTAAAGCTGTGAGCGAGCGGTTTGGCTGCTGCATAGGTTAGTTTGCTCTGGAGCCACATCCTGAATGGAGACAAAAATGGACGAGCCGGAGGCTAAAAAAGCTGTGAGCCAGCTCACACTCACTCAGCTTAGAGGGGACACTGGCTCACCACAGAGTTTTATTCTAGAGCGTCATCCGCACAGTATGCCCAGTGCTATGATGTCACCTCTGGGTGATGTCATTGCACCAGGCACATTGGGCAGGACCGGGCTCTTTGGGGGCGGGGCTCCCCCGATTCGGCTCCTGCAAAGAATTAGATTGCTTCGGAGCCCTCCTTTCGGAGCTGAGACAAAAATGGGCGAGCCGGAGGCTAAAAAACTGTGAGCTAGCTCACACTCAATCAGCTTAGAGGGAACACTGCTCATAACTTCAATACCAGTGGCTCACAAAGGAGAATGTTTGCTCACAGGACTCCACAGCTTAGAGCAGTGGTGGCGAACCTATGGCACGGGTGCCGGAGGTGGCACTCAGAGCCCTCTCTGTGGGCACGCGTGCCATCGCCCCAGCCAGGCCCAGACCATCATTAAAGTGTCGAATTCTCTGCCAAATAATTTTAAGTAAATGAAAGCATTTGGGATTGCTTTCCTTACTTTGTTTGGATCATCTTAAGTTAATGTATGAGTTGTTTTTTCTAAAGTAAAACCTCAGTATTCAGGTTAAATTGCCGTGTTGGCACTATTTATCTACTTGCAATTTCTTGCTTTCGAACTGCCAGGTTGGCAGGAGCTGGAACTAGAGACGGGAGCTCACTCCGTCATGTGGCACACTCGGGTCTCAAACTGCCGAACTACTGACATTCCACAGCCTGCAGTTCAGCGTCTTAACCACTTGAGCCACCGCAGCTCCTAAAACCTCAGTACACTGGTTAAATTGCCGTGTTGGCACTTTGTGATAAATAAGTGGGTTTTTGGTCGCAATTTGGGCACTCGGTCTCTAAAAGGTTCGCCATCACTGGCTTAGAGGGAGCATTGGTTGTAATGTTTACGAATCTCATACGGTATGCACGGTGGTCATTTTGTGTGTGTGTGTTTCTCTTTATAAGACCCAAAACAGAACGCTGGAGAAGAATCGGATCATGGTGGCGACTCTGCGGACTCGGCCACTCCTTCGGCCGTGAGGATGAAATCCCCACGTCCTGACCCTGTGGCGTCCTCTGGGTCATTCTCTCAGGAAGAGGAAGGGCAGCTGCCTGAACCAGCAAGGAAACGACTCAAAGGAGAGACTGAAAAGCCCTGACCTTGGATATAGCCGATATGTTTGTGTGTGTGTATACACACACACACATACATACAGGGGTCATTTCGTATAGAAAAAGAGATGCAGGAGCTCATTAGCATAACTCATTAGCATAACTTATTTGCATATGCCACACCCCCTTGCATCACCGGAAGTGTGTCAGAAGGCAACGCCCACCGCTCAGGCTCCACTGGACTGTTTTGGATTGCTAGCTATTGGGGGGGGGGGACAACATGTGGAGATCTGTCCTTGCAGAGGAGGGAGAGCTTCTACCTGAATAAAACTTGGTCTTAAAGGTCTGTTTTGGCGGGGGGGGGGGGGGGCTCTGCAACTTACCTGCCTGCTTCTTGCTTCTCGTGACCCGACTAAGGGCTGCTGGGAGCAAGGGGCGGGGCTTGTTGCATGTGCCCGCCCCCATGGCTCTTCACTGCCAGAGCTCCGCTCCTGTACGCTCATGCAGGAAATTACTCCTGTATGTGTGTGTGTATATATATATATATATACTGGCTGAGCAAAGTGATGGAAGATTTAGGAAGCATTGACCTAAATACAGATTCTGTGTATTTTACAATTCGGGAAATGTTACGTATGCTCTATCTTAGTGGTACTCTTTTTGCTTGTAATGTTGAGCCATTGTATGCAGCTTAAAGGGTTGTTGTTGTTTTTTAAAACAAGCTAGTGCAGAAAGCTAGTAAGTTAAACTATTTTCCCACACTGTGGGAAGTCTACTGTGTGAAATGGCAAAACCCACTTGCAAACGGTCACTAAAGTGGATTGAGACGGCATTATTTTGAGCAGGGGTGTCAAACATGTGGCCC